AACAGTGTAAAAAAAAATATTTTTCATGTGCTGTAAGTGACCAAAATTGTTAGCTTCAATATGTTTCATATAAAAATAAATTAATTCTATGGCATAAAATTGCTACTGTCACAAATATACATTGTTTAATAAATTAATAACCAAAGTTCTATAGTTAATTAAATAACCGCATGTGCCCAAATGCAATCACATCCCATAACTAAAATTCTAGAATAAAATTTACTCATGATGCAAACATATTTTTACTAATTCTATATTGCCGGAAAACTTTATGATTCGTTAACAAGTGTTTCATGTTCTTAAGAACACTACCTAAATCTCTCGTTCTCTTCACATCAAAATACCCATTCTTACAGCCAACAAAGTTACATTTGGCCAGATATACACCTATAATCTAACACACAGTCTTAACACATAAAAATATAATCTTACAATCACAGCTATTTTATGTTAATGAAATCTTTTAATGCTCTATAGTCTTCCAAATACTGTATCTTATCATCTTTGCCTGTTATAAATATTTCATTTGACAGAGCCATAAACAATTCAAAAATGATTATTACACTGAACTAACCAATTTTCATGCAATTGGCAGAGTGGTTATTTGAACATTATCAAAATACTTTAGTCATTTATACCTTTTCTAAAAAATACATATCATTGCCAATCTGAGAAAGAACCTGACACACTGACTTGGCTCTTAAATTCATTCTCTTTTACTTCCCTTGTAAGCATTAGCATATACTGCATGAAGATGCAAATTACCAGTGCAAAAACAGCAATAAAAATATAGTAAACTTTGTAAAAAACCAGCAAGTTCTTGATCAAGGTCATGTTGGTTTCCTGAAAAATCTGCAAAAAATTTGCCATTCAAGCAAGTACCATAATCTCATAAAACAAGCAAATCTATCAGTTTATTGTGTATGCATTTCAAACTATGAACCAAAAGGAATCAATATGTTGGATAAAACTGGCTCGGGTGTATTTCTATAAAATGGTAAAATATTTGGGGTGGTCCTTGAAAGTGGCAACATTGAAAGAAATTCTCTTGGTCCAGTTTTTATCAAGTTTACTGTACAGTACACAGACATTTGCACCAGGACAACGAAGAATGGAAAAAACAGAAAATAAATAACTTTGAAAGACTGATTGCTAGCTTTAAGGTGTACCGACTATACGAGTTGAAAGACTGAGGTTTACAACCAAATGTTAATTTAATTATCAAGATCCCGGTGCATGAGACCAAGAGAAAATTGGTACCTTAACATCCAATTAATTCAATTCTTATCCTGACTCTTCTAATTACATCCTATTATTTGAAATGGAACAAAAACACTTTTGAAGATTTACTTACACAATAAATGTCAGGTAAAAACATTCAGTAATTCTGTAATGTTTCTCATCTTACAATGAAATGCAACAACATATAAACATTTAATTTTTTAATTCATTGTGGAATTCTTTGGATGAAATGCATTAAACAGCCTGGTCTTGATATGTTCATAATAAAACTCTATTCATTCATGCTGACACGAATGCTAACAGAGTACGTAAATTATATAGTACATTCCTGAGATTCACACTCACATTCTCTGAGTTTCAACTTATTCATTTTAAATAAATACTTTTCACTAGTCCCGCTACATTCAGTTGGTACTCTGAATAAAAAAAAAAAAAAAAAAAAAAAAAAAAAAAAAAAAAAAAAAAAAAAAAAAAGTATATCTAGAACTCAAAGTTATTCTATTTTGTTTTTACAAAAGCATAAATAACATGATACTAAATTTCTTTTTTCTTCTTTGGGTTACTCAACCTTAGTAGAATATGGCTAGCAAGTATTAAAAAAATTACTACAAGTCATGCTTCAGTCATAACTTACTAACTTGGTTTAATTGGCAGAGATTATCTTGCCAAACAACCCAAGTTGTTAAATATTAACTCTTGTTATAGTTCTGTAAAAGTGTCTGAACATTATGAGAACAATATGCGGTGCATGAATGTGAAATGCTGCTTGAAATATATTATACAGTCTGAAGTAGGGTGATGCCGAATCTGTAAGGTTGCTAATTTCTGAGGAAGAAATGGACATGCAAAGTGGGTTTCAGGTATGTTATCTAGACTTCTGATCTTAGAGAGAGAAACCATAATCCTTTCATCTAACAAATCAGACACTAGACATTTAAAGTGTTAGTGGACACCTGGTGGAAGAGTGAGGAGACTATGCATGGATCAGTCTCCCTGAACGTAGTACAAAGGGAAACAAAAGGTGCCATGAAAGACAAATGAGATGAATTAACAAACATAAGTACCAGAACACAGAGGAGAAATTCACATCAAAACTAAGAAAAAAACGTGAAGAATACAGTGCCCCGTATGGCCAAATATGCAGTCTGCATAATTTTTTTAGTTCTTGAACTGTATAGTGAGGTGTATTACTATTCTGATATTTTATTTTCATCCTTTTAATTACATTTTTAGTGCAAATAATATAGCTATCATAGGAGGAACCTACATGGTTCAGTCAGTTCTTATATTTGCTATTGTAATTAAGTGGGAACACAAGACAAAAAAATTGATCAAATGTTCATCCAACTTATAATTAACAAACAGTAAATAATGATATAATGAAAGTAGTTTATTAGATTATGTATTGGTGGATAAAAGGTTGATGGGTAGGCTCCAGGATGTACATGTTTATAGAGGGGCAACTGATATATCGGATCATTATTTAGTTGTAGCTACAGTTAGAGTAAGAGGTAGATGGGAAAAGAGGAAGGTGGCAACAACAAGTAAGAGGGAGGTGAAAGTGTATAAACTAAGGGAGGAGGAAGTTCGGGTGAGATATAAGCGACTATTGGCAGAAAGGTGGGCTAGTGCAAAGATGAGTAGTGGGGGGGTTGAAGAGGGTTGGAATAGTTTTAAAAATGTAGTATTAGAATGTGGGGCAGAAGTTTGTGGTTATAGGAGGGTGGGGGCAGGAGGAAAGAGGAGTGATTGGTGGAATGATGAAGTAAAGGGTGTGATAAAAGAGAAAAAGGTAGCTTATGAGAGGTTTTTACAAAGCAGAAGTGTTATAAGAAGAGCAGAGTATATGGAGAGTAAAAGAAAGGTAAAGAGAGTGGTGAGAGAGTGCAAAAAGAGAGCAGATGATAGAGTGGGAGAGGCACTGTCAAGAAATTTTAATGAAAATAAGAAAAAATTTTGGAGTGAGTTAAACAAGTTAAGAAAGCCTAGGGAAAGTATGGATTTGTCAGTTAAAAACAGAGTAGGGGAGTTAGTAGATGGGGAGATGGAGGTATTAGGTAGATGGCGAGAATATTTTGAGGAACTTTTAAATGTTAAGGAAGAAACAGAGGCAGTAATTTTATGCACTGGTCAGGGAGGTATACCATCTTTTAGGAGTGAAGAAGAGCAGAATGTAAGTGTGGGGGAGGTACGTGAGGCATTACGTAAAATGAAAGGGGGTAAAGCAGCTGGAACTGATGGGATCATGACAGAAATGTTAAAAGCAGGGGGGGATATAGTGTTGGAGTGGTTGGTACTTTTGTTTAATAAATGTATGAAAGAGGGGAAGGTACCTAGGGATTGGCAGAGAGCATGTATAGTCCCTTTATATAAAGGGAAAGGGGACAAAAGAGACTGTAAAAATTATAGAGGAATAAGCTTACTGAGTATACCAGGAAAAGTGTACGGTAGGGTTATAATTGAAAGAATTAGAGGTAAGACAGAATGTAGGATTGCAGATGAGCAAGGAGGTTTCAGAGTGGGTAGGGGATGTGTAGATCAAGTGTTTACATTGAAGCATATATGTGAACAGTATTTAGATAAAGGTATGGAAGTTTTTATTGCATTTATGGATTTAGAAAAGGCATATGATAGAGTGGATAGAGGAGCAATGTGGCAGATGTTACAAGTATATGGAATAGGTGGTAAGTTATTAAATGCTGTAAAGAGTTTTTATGAGGATAGTGAGGCTCAGGTTAGGGTGTGTAGAAGAGAGGGAGACTACTTCCCGGTAAAAGTAGGTCTTAGACAGGGATGTGTAATGTCACCATGGTTGTTTAATATATTTATAGATGGGGTTGTAAAGGAAGTAAATGCTAGGGTGTTCGGGAGAGGGGTGGGATTAAATTATGGGGAATCAAATTCAAAATGCGAATTGACACAGTTACTTTTTGCTGATGATACTGTGCTTATGGGAGATTCTAAAGAAAAATTGCAAAGGTTAGTGGATGAGTTTGGGAATATGTGTAAAGGTAGAAAGTTGAAAGTGAACATAGAAAAGAGTAAGGTGATGAGGGTGTCAAATGATTTAGATAAAGAAAAATTGGATATCAAATTGGGGAGGAGGAGTATGGAAGAAGTGAATGTTTTCAGATACTTGGGAGTTGACGTGTCGGCGGATGGATTTATGAAGGATGAGGTTAATCATAGAATTGATGAGGGAAAAAAGGTGAGTGGTGCGTTGAGGTATATGTGGAGTCAAATAACGTTATCTATGGAGGCAAAGAAGGGAATGTATGAATATATAGTAGTACCAACACTCTTATATGGGTGTGAAGCTTGGGGGGTAAATGAAAACAGCGAGGAGAACGGTTGGAGGCAGTGGAGATGTCCTGTTTAAGGGCATTGTGTGGTGTAAATATTATGCAAAAAAATTTCGGAGTGTGGAAATTAGGAAAAGGTGTGGAGTTAATAAAAGTAATTAGTCAGAGGGCAGAAGAGGGGTTGTTGAGGTGGTTTGGTCATTTAGAGAAAAGGGATCAAAGTAAATGACATGGAAAGCATATAAATCTATAGGGGAAGGAAGGGGGGGAAAGGGGTCGTCCTCGAAAGGGTTGGAGAGAGGGGGTAAAGAGGTTTTTGTGGGCAAGGGGCTTGGACTTCCAGCAAGCGTGCGTGAGCGTGTTAGATAGGAGTGAATGGAGACGAATGAAACTTGGGACCTGACGATCTGTTGGAGTGTGAGCAGGGTAATATTTAGTGAAGGATTCAGGGAAACCGGTTATTTTCATATAGTCGGACTTGAGTCCTGGAAATGGGAAGTACAATGCCTGCACTTTAAAGGAGGGGTTTGGGATATTGGCAGTTTGGAGGGATATGTTGTGTATCTTTATATGTGTATGCTTCTAGACTGTTGTATTCTGAGCACCTCTGCAAAAACAGTGATAATGTGCGAGTGTGGTGAAAGTGTTGAATGATGATGAAAGTATTTTCTTTTTGGGGATTTTCTTTCTTTTTTGGGTCACCCTGCCTTGGTGGGAGACGGCCGACTTGTTGAAAAAAAAAAATAAATAAATAAATATACACAATCTTTAAGGATGACCCACACTAAATAGCTGCAAACAGCGTGTGTTTTTGGTCCAGCTAGAAACCCTTTTTAGTTGCCTAAAAAAAAAAAAAAAAAAGAGGGGGGACCACAGTTAAGTCAAATAAAAAATATTTTTTTTCCAGATGTCAATGTGAGTCACTAAGTCATACATACAAAATAACATTCATGCACTGCCTACAAAAATACTGCAATATACATTCCATTGGCAGTATGTAGTAGATTTTCACCTCAGCCTTCCTTGTGCTTCATTTACATATTTGGATCTGCTGTTATGTATCTCTCTTACTTAATCATCCATTTGATTCCAATTTAACCCAAAAAATATAAAAAATTTGGCAAAAAAACAGTAGCCAATAAGACCTCAAAATTTCTAAAGAATAACTGCCTGTAAAAAAAATATATTCTGTGTACCACACCATAGCTTACATCGTCAGTGTAACATATAATAGCTCAAAGAAATGTATATTAATCACTTTATCAGGAAAGAGATATTACTTAGAGATCTTTTATCATACCATATTTTTTCTTCATGTAGACATAATTAACTTTAAGATATATATGTACTTTGTTTATTTTCTTGCCAAATTAACTTAGCCATTTGGAACTTAAACTGAGTTTACCAATTTCAGTATCTATCACTGTTTTCTTGGTATTATGATTGAATTTTCCTTGAATAAGATAGAAAGTTGTTCATCACCTGTCTTTTCACACACTCTGCTCTCTAAGACAGCAGGACTTCCACTGATATACCAGAGGAACTTGTTGCTCTAGCACCATCACAGCCAACTGTTATCTGTGAATTATATTCTTTTCATTTGCTTTAGTTTTATCCTTTTCCTTTTCAGGAGCTTCCATATATAAAGGCTTCAGATCTGTTGGCTTGAATTTCCTGAAAATAAAATAAAATAGTTATTCTAGTTTAGCAACATTAAACTTAATAATTTTGTATAGCGACAGGGGACGTACTCAGGTAAAAATTCACTTTGTGACAATCTATTCCTGCTGAGTGACAATACATCATAATGACCTGCCCTAGACTGGCTAATGAGAGTCCATTTATTCATATACAGTGGACCCCCGGTTAACGATATTTTTTCACTCCAGAAGTATGTTCAGGTGCCAGTACTGACCGAATTTGTTCCCATAAGGAATATTGTGAAGTAGATTAGTCCATTTCAGACCCCCAAACATACACGTACAAACGCACTTACATAAATACATTTACATAATTGGTCGCATTCGGAGGTGATTGTTATGCGGGGGTCCACTGTACTCTTGGGATTATCAAGAAAGCACACACGCATAGGTTTGGTCACCAGTTCAGTACATGGGAAGTGGAATATACTTGCTGGCTAGATACTGTTGCTGTTTTTAAATGTTACACTGCAATTCAATTTGTAGTCTAAGAAGTAGAGCTATGCTAGTGATGTCTTGTCTTCTATACATGTTCAAAGTTTCCTGTATACACTATCACCTTGTTTGGAGATCATTTCAACCATCAACCCTCCCTTTGTAAGGACAACATTTTAATGTCTCTTATGTACAGGTATATCAATGATTTGGAATTTCTATTGTAATATACTATATATTGATGCTTGTTCTCTTTATAGTTATTACCAATAGATTTCCCTTATCAGTTTTTTTATGTACAGTATCCTGTTATGAATTTTTATTACATGTAATAGAAATCAAAACACCCCTCCAGAAAATGAGGAAATGGTTAGCTTTAACACATTTTTCATAAAAACCTGTATTTTCTATATCATCTCAAAAAACCTTCAACTGTTGTCATTGTAGTTTTATCTCTTCTTTCTGTCTTTAAACAAGGTCATTGTAAGCAATGTACATTACACTGTATTTGTTGCCATTCTTCAAAACTCACATTTCTTTAATTTGTAATCTTATTTTTTAATTATTTTATGGTTCATATTTCTTTAAATGCAAGCCCCAACTACAACTATACTATATTCAAAATTTTTAGCACCTCCCCATCCATATACTGGTACATGTATTTTATACAGCAGTAATACTGTAGCAATAATATTCACAAAAATGTACTAAACCCACATGGGCTCAACATACCATGCCTAAAACTTACCTTAAATATACAAGAAGGGCATCAGTTCCTGTAATCAAGCACTCAGTTCGAAGTGCTGTATATGACTAACAATCAAACCACAGAACAGGTGGTATTAGAATCCATGGCAAGTGAGTCATAAGACTCCAGGCCAGTGTTATTACAGTTTCGTTTATGATTTTCTCTTGATCTTATCCATATCAAGTTTTTAGAAAATTTTATCAGAGTGGATGGAAGTGTAAATTTCCACTCCCATCCATTTCCAGTACGTGTACTGTACAATAAATCCCACTCAAGACAGTAAGATCTGTTCTTGAAAGCTGGCATGCACTCTAAAATTGTAAAATATACAACACAATATGAACATCATTTGGGAAAAATAAGATCACATTCTAAACAACTTAAAGTTGGTCTTATTAAGCTGCAGACACAATGACTAATAATAAATTATCACTCTTGATGGCAGCAGACACAATCATATACCATATGATTCCACTTTTATTCCAAATGCACAAATGTTTAAAATTATTTTTATGGATACCATCAAATGTTCAAAAGCTTTTACAGCCAAATAATGTAAACAGGTACACACTGCTAGTTATTATATACTGTATATCATCACATCTTGCCATTTCTTACTTGCAGTACCAAGAGCTAATTTACTGTTCAAGAAAATGTTACTCACACAGCACTACTTAGAGAGCATCAAACCACAATCAAGGTCAAGTTTTTCTCCCAAGAATATAATGTTGCTGTTTCAGTTAATATATCAAAATGATATAGCAATGTTTAAGGCTTGTTATGCTGCTGGAAAAACAGTTTCTCAATTTTATCAATTCACATGACAGCAAGACGGTACAGACAAGCCAACAATATGGATACTACACAATAGCCATTATTTATAGAAAGCAGTCATGTCTATCATAATGAATATTAAGTGAAATCTCTGAGTATCAATGTGACACTTCCAGACATTTAGAGGAACACTGTGCTGCTTTCCAACAAGCTGGGTTTGATAAAACTAAGGGGGCTGGTGCAAAGGAATTATTAAGACCTTTCCAAACATAAGTTGACACAACTCCTACCCCCTGTAAATTCACTCTGGGGAAGTGTTGAGTATGTTGACACCATAGACTCAGCCTCAGCAAACATTACGAACTATGATTCAAATGGGATATTTAGCTCTAGAATCAAGGCAGGCTTAAGAACTTTTTCATTGCTACGGACAGCCTAGGTCAATGTGGTAAAAATAAATGAGAAAATCATATTCCCTTGAATGGTGAACTTTCTAACTGGTAAACCCTACTATTTCATACTTAACTGGCAAACATATGGATCTATAATTACCTGGTATACAATTCTGTTCTATACTTACCTGGAGTGAATGACGGCAAAAGTTTTTCTTTTTTGGGCCACCTTACCTTGGTGGGAAATGGCCTATGTGTTAATATATAAATATATAATAAACTTACCCAGCATATACAACTACTCTTCTATACTTAACTGATATACACTACTGATCTATCCTTACCTGGCATATACTACTGTTTTTAATTGCCCAGTACACATTACTGTTTTTAATTGCCTGGTAGACACTATATACACACCTGCTCTATATTTTAACAGGTGTACTGTACACCTGTTAAAATAATATGATGTAATGAACTTAATATTTCATCTCACAGTTATAATTTTCATACATTTCATTGCCATACAGTCAATACGAATAAATAAATCAAGATACAGCGCCTTATACTATGTATGTAATTATGTCTGTGTCATACAACTAGTCAAGCTTTAAACACACATGGTATGCTAGCAAACTGACTGTACCTAATAAATAATACTTACGAATACTGTGAGAATGGTACGCCCACTATGAGAAGAGGGTTTGATTTGATGTTCAGCCTCCACATGCCATGATGGTAGCCCCGACCATCAAGGTCCCATATACGTAAGCACTGCAAACAACACAAAAATTAGATGATAGCTATGAGGTTATAAATGCTGGTTAACACTGAGAAGTATGCAAATGAGACACACATGCAGTATAAAGACATTGAGTGAAGAGATGTTTTTTGATGTTTTGCCAACCTGTTGCTTTATCAATCCACTACAGAGACCAGGAAACACAAAATACTGGTCTGTATGTAACCTATAGGTCTCCACAGAAGTGAAGACTCTTTCTTCCATATGCCATATGTGTTGAAAGAGGCAACTAAAATGCCAGGAGAAAGGGGATAGTAACCCCTTCTCCTGTATAAATTACTAAATGTAAAAAGTATAAAAATGTTATACTTATGCTTTTTGGGTCACCCTGCCTTGGTGGGAGATGGCAGCTTTGTTAATTTTTTCTTTATAGAAGTGAATAGAGTACAGTATATAAAAGATAAGTTCAATTTGGACATCAACATAGTGATATCTTGTGAATCTTAATACAGTACTAACTTAAACTTTCCTGTTTTGTATGTTGCATACTAAAACTTTATAAAGAATACTGGTTATATAAATTGTATTAACTCCTCACCACTGTAGATATGGATTCAGAATCTTCCTAAACTTTTCAACTCCTTAAGAATGTTGGCAAATACCTGATAAACACCTGAATTTTTTTAAATATCTGCATGCTGGCTTGGCTATCATCACAGCCTCCACTTGCATGCAATGAAAAATGTTAATGTGTGAAAAATTTATAGGGATTATATCAGAAATATGAAAAGAGGCAGGAACAAGCATAGGAAAAAGTAATTAAGACATACTTATCTTTGCACCAAAATATTCTTTTGAACACTCGGTTGGCACAGAGTTAATGTGTGCTTCTTTGGTAATATGGCAATAGCTTAAATTTCACAGTACTCTTTGTAATATACTGCACGTATCTTTACACTGAGTGACCGCAGATTTTACTGCATTATTTTTTTAAACATTCAGTGCCTTTTGAAGACTTTTTCCTAAAAGTTATTTGTTTTTAAATACAGGATCCAACATGTGTATAAATTTTGGAACATTTATCAACTTTCATACCTACAAGCTACTATAATCACAGTATCTCAAAAGAAATCTTTAGTTGTACAAACCTTGGCAACTTGTAACCATGTAGTATAATCTTTATGGTGGTTCATCTGAATGAAGAGTAGGTAAGTGTGGCCTGTGGTATCTGGGACAAATGTTTCTTCACAAGGACTCTGTGAGTGATCCAAAACTGTTCCTCGGCGTAGCATCTCTGTTATCAACTCTTCATATGCCTCCTTTTTCAGACTGGAATACCAATGAATTTTTGTTACATTTCTACTATATTATTTACTACAAACATCTATTAGAATTCATAATGCTAAACATTATAGTGATTCAATAAATTTCAAAGAATAAAGTGTATTATATATTGCAAGTTCAGATGGATGATGCTTTTTACTATGAGGTACCTTATTAGTACATATATTTAAAATGAAAGTTTTCTTGTTAATCTTATATACAGTAGGACCCCTGTATCCATGGGGGATATGTTCCAAGTATCTGCCATGGATACCGAAACCGCTGATAGTAACAAACCCTATATGTATATAAGTCCTATATATACATGTACCTATTATAAAGTTTAATTGATAAATTAAGCACACTAAGTGGAGAATTATCACTTTTTCACTGATGGGAAGTGCTTCACGGCTTCTCTTAGGCTTTAAAGAACTGCCAGCCTCTCTATTTGTGCACTTTGAGGCCATTATTATACAAAATTAAGATGTATTTTTGGGCCACAGAAAACTGTGGATGACTGAAACTGTAGATACTGAATCAGCGGATATGGGGGTTCTACTGTATTAGTACACAGGAAAATGCCTTTGCATTTACTATTTTATAAATTTTAAAGGGGTATGTAATACTTTTGCAATGACTTCTATCTACACAAGACAATTAAAAAAAATTAACAGCTAAACCCTGGCAACTGCTTTAACACAAACCTGTCCAAGTCACGTAACTCAACATAGGGCAGAGTATTAAAGGAATGCTTTTTAAAGTATGTGTCTTGGAAATACGAGTTCATGTTCAGTCCTGATGAGCCAAAATGGTAAGTGCGAGATATGTCTGGTACAATACACTCCCTTCCACGTCGCACCTCGCCTAAACGCATCCACATATCCCAATCCCACATCTGAAGCAAAACAAAAAACAAAAAATCAAATTTACTTAACCTATACAAAAAATATATACAACTCTTTCATGTGCAAAAAAAAAAAAGATCATAGTGGGTATTGCTCATAAATGGCATCTATTCATAACTGAAGTTTAGGGCTCAGAGATCTATACAAATCTTGGAGCGAGCATTAAGAAGGAAAATTACCAGTATAATGAAAGTTGCCTCAGTGGAAGGTACTCAAAACTACAGAGAACAAAATCTTTCATTGGGGAAACAGAAAATAGAAGTGTTTAATGATAACAAATTCCAACTGGTTAGACATATAAGAAACAAAAAAAAAAAAAAAACTATGATCAGGATACAAAATGTAAGCAACCCTTAGGCATAATAATGCCAGATAACCTACAGGTCGGCCATCACTAATCCGGCAATCAGTTATCCGGTTCCATCAGTAATCCGGAATTAATATCAGCTAGTATAATTTCAAATTTCATCATTATACTGACTCAAATCATTATACTGACTCAAATTTCATCATTATACTGACTCAGAAATTGTGCAGATGGTTGTAAATCCACAGCAGCAAGCCAGTGGAGGAGAAAGCAGTGATGAAAATGTAGCAGAAAGAGTCTCTATTGACAGGTTAATTAAGTGTATTCTAACCTAACCACTCTGTAATCCTGCAAACTCACTAATCCGGCACACTAGAGGTCCCAACATTGCTGGATTAGTGATGGCCGACCTGTACTGCTAAGTGAACACAATAAAGGTGCATGGCATAAAAGGCAAGAAAAATAAGAAATTGGATTATGAGAATTTTCAAAGCAAAAATGCCAATGACTGTACATACTATTCGAATCACTTATGCTCTCACATCTAGAATATTATTTTGTGTTCACAACTCCTATTAAGGTAAAAAATAATATCAGAATCAATAAACCATCTAAACTACAGGGAATACCTCAAAGCAAATGGAATTTATTCTCTAAACTTCTGGAATGGAACCTAAGAGTAAGTAGTATGTACATTGTACTACAACCACTGAAAACTTAGAAAGTAAATTTTTTTTTTTTTGAACACACTGGCTGTATCCCACTGAGGCAGGGTGACCTTAAAAGAAAAACGAAAGTTTTTCTTTTTAAATTTAGTAATTGAAAAGTATATAATAAACTAAAAAACAGAAATGGGACACTATGAGCACAACTCTTCTCCTGTAACTACAAACACATATTCACAAAGAGGCAATCATAAATATATAATTATTGTACTACTCTGGTAGCATCACAGAGAACTACCATCCCTACACTCAAACATTATTCATCGTACACTGTGAACTTGCCTTTTCTGGTGTTGGCCACTTGGGTTCTAGTTCATCTTTATAAAGGGAGCGCTTTAAGATCCAGCCTAAGCCAGGCATGGTCTCCACACGGTAGAGAAGTGCTGGGTCCGTGCTGGTGTGCTCATAACCCTGGTCATTCCACGCACTTACACAATATATGGATGGATCCTCTTCTAACAGTCTCAGGGTCTGGCTGAAGTAGCTGAAATTACGTAAGATATACTATAATGCATTGCCGAAGTATGAAATTTTATGAATGTGATAAATGACCACACTTATTACTAAGTTGTCCAAAGTGAAAATACTGTACTGTACTGTACTGAAAAATACCTAATTTTTGTATAGTACAGTGGACCCCTGAGTTTCAGGCAGCCTCGACTTTCGCGAAATTCAACCTTCGGCGAGTTTTTTTGGAAAAATTTGGCCTCGAGTTTCGTGAAAAAACTCGTGTTTTGGTGACCGTCCGGTACCCGTCCGCCCGTCACCGTGCACACAAAGCCAGTCTCAAACGCCATTCACGCTCAGTGTGCCATTGTTTACCAACATGTGACCATTACCCCGCGGGTTCATACATTTCATAATAATCCATTGTTTTTTGTGCTTGCAACTGTCATCATGGACCCAAGGAAAGCTAGCGCAAGCCCTTTGGTAAATAAAGTGAGTGACGGGGATGTGGAAGAGTTGGTGGAGGACCACAGGGAAGAGCTAACCACTGACGAACTGCAAGAGTCTTCAACTGGAACAGCATCAGACCACAGCCGAGGAACTTGCTTCAGAGGAGGAGGAAGAGGGAGTGGATGAGATGCCTTCTTCAGTGATTAAGGACATGTGTGGAATGTGGAATGAGTTGCAAAGTTTTGTTGAAAAGTATCACCCTGACCAAGCTGAAACAAGCCGTATCTGCAACATGTACAATGACAGTATTATGTCCCACTTCAGGGAAATCTTAAAGAAATGCCAGAAAAAGACCTCTCTGGATAGATATTTTGTGTGCCAGGGGTCCAGTGACTCTCAAGTTATTCCCAGTGGCATTAAAAGAAGAAGGGAAGTAACCCAAGATAAGGACTTGCTACCTAAAGTCCTAATGGAAGGAGATTCTCCTTCCAAATAATAGTGTACACCTTCCTCCTATCACCTTCTCCCATCTTCCATCCATCCACCCAGAAGTCTTCAGTAAAGGTAAGTGTAATGTTATTATTATTTATTTTAAATGCATGTACTTGATTTCTGATTGTTTTCATTATGTAAATCTTTATTTAATTTGAAAAAAAAAAAAATTATTTTAATATTTTTGGGTGTCTGGAACGGATTAATTTTATTTCCATTATTTCTTATGGGGAAAATGGTTTCGAGTGTCGTGAATTTCGACCTTCGGCGGGCTCTCTGGAACGGATTAATCACTGAAACTCGGGGGGTCCACTGTATATATAATTTACAGTGGGAGTTATCACAGTCCTTCTTTGTTGATGACATTGCTTTTGGAGGATTTTAAAAAGGTTGGTGGATGAATTTGGGAATGAAAAAAGTTTGAAAGAAGAAAATTAAAAGTGAAAATAGAAAAAAATAAGATGAGGATAACAAAAGAGTCTTGGCAGTGACAGATTAAATATCAGACTGGAGGGAGTATGAAGGAAGTGGATGTATTTAGATATTTGGGAGTTGCCATGTCAGCAGATGGTTCTATAAAAGACAAGGTGAACAAAAAATAGATGAGGGGGAAAAGGTGGGTGGTGTGTTGAGGTATCTGTGGAAAGAAAGAAGTTTATCTATGGAGGTAAAATAAAGGAAATGTAACAAAATACATTAGTACCAACACGTTTATATCGGTGTGAGACATGGGTTTTGAAAAACCACAACGAAAGGGAGGCTAGAGGCAGTGGCTATGTCAAATTTGAGATCAATGTGTCACTTGAATATTGCGAAGAGAATTTGGAGCATGATAATTGAAAGGTAATGTGGGGTTACCAAGGGTATAACTCAGAGTGCTGAGGAGGAGTTGTTAGAGATGGTTTGGACATGTGGAGAGGATGGCAAGGGATATGATAAGGAAGAGGGTGTATAACCCTGGGGTGGAAGGCAGTAGTAGGGGTCATCCCAGGAACTGCTGGAAGGAGGGGTAAAGGAGGTTTTGAGTTATAAAGGCTGAGTATCCAGCAGGATTGTGCGAGTGTCTTGGGAGTTAGTGGAAACAAATGATTTTCAGTGAATGTGTTGTCCTACAAGAGACAAACAAAATACTCTATCTTGCTGATGACAATTTTCTTTAGCTATATCTTTTTAAACTTCAAAATCACATACATTAAGAATAAGGTTTTGTTATTATCTATTTTCCTTCAGTTATGCTTTTATTTCTACTCCTGTTTCATTCTAGCAACACACTCTCTCGCTTGCAAGTTTGGGCAGAATCAGCTCTCACTATTTCATGGTATAACTTACCTAAAGAAGTCAGGAGAGACATCAAGGTCTTCTTCTAATATTATAGCATAACGAGCAGCAGGGAAGATGTTGAAGGTAGCCGTCAGGGAGGCCTTGTAATGTTGAGCGATGCGAGCATTCCTTACCTGAAAATAAGACCATAAAACATTCATGAAAAAGTTCTTCTCTACTTTTTTAAATGTTAAATTTATAGGTTCAAAAGTGTTATTTTAATTGAGCTCGTTTCAAAGCCCAGCCTTATAAGGTATAATAAGACACCCCCTAGGATGCAAAACCCCCTCCCCAATGGTCAGCTAACACCCTGGCACCTATTTACTTCTTGGCAAAAAGGGGCAACAGGTCTAAGATTTGCCCATAAATTTCTTCTCATCCAAGAATGAGCAAGTTCTGGTTGGGCAAAATCAGTATCTTCATTATATTATTTTGCAACATTACTCCACTTGAACATCTTCCCTGGAGTTTTAGAACTCGCTTGCCATGGGTTCAATCCCCAATCATGCCATGGTTTATTAACAAAACTTAAAACAATACACATTCTCACCCCAAGCGGTGTATGCTGTATCCCTCTCAAGCCAAAGAGCTTTGTTACAGCGAGAGGTTCTTCATAGTAGCCGTCAATGAAAACTGTGATCATGTCGGGGTTAACGCCTGGTGCTGCTAGCAGGGAACGCAATGACCTGTAAATATTTGTTCTATAGTATGTACTTATCCTAATATTAAGTAGTCTGTAAGCATTAGGTTTAGTATCCCGAAATGCCCCGGCATGATGGTGGCTTTATTTGTACTTATCAAATCAAAATTGTAATCACATATTGTAAACATTGCAAAGAAATAAAATCTTTATCTTTTATTCAAAATGTCAAGTGATCTTATAGCAACTCTGATTATGGGAACGATATGAAAACATTAATATCCTAAATGAACAAATTATATTCAGTATCACAAAGAAGCCCTCATAGGGTATTAGGACAATGAGAACTACCCTCATAAGGTATTAGGAACAATGAGAACTGCCCTCATAAAGGTATCAGAACAATGAGAACTGCCCTCATAAAGGTATCAGAACAATGAGAACTGCCCTCATAAAGGTATCAGAACAATGAGAACTGCATTAAGTTTATTACTGACCTATACAGGTAATGAGGACGGTTGCTAGCAATAATGGCAACAGGAACATCATGAACCTGGTTGTTCAACAGCTGCAACAAAATATACATTTTAGTTATTCTGTTGTTTTTGTATTTCTACAGAAAACAAGATGGATGCATTAAAGATATCAAGTTGCACTGCATGAAATATTGCAGTTCAATGGTATATCTATAGTAAGAGACTAAATTCCTCTAAAAATTATATTCATAGGTCTACTGCAATTTAGAATGAAATGGAAACCTTTCGACAGAATCACTTAAGGAATCCTTGTATAAAATATATAATTTTACTTTTTTATAGGCTTTCTAAGTACTGAATACAGACAAAGGATTGCCAAAAGATGAATAAAGGGAAAATATGAATCACATGACTTTTTTGCCAAGAGTAGAAAGATATGAAGAAAATGAAGAATAGAGAAAGATAAGAAGACTAGGAATAAGGTGGAGACTGACAAATAAGGGCATGCACTCTGTTACCGAGGAAATATAATAAACAGTGTGCTTCTGGCAAGGCAGGTATTGAATGAATGACGGCAAATGTGTTTCCTCTTTTGGGATTATACTACCTCATTGGAAGGTGGCCGGTATGGTTCAAAAGATATATGATCAATGCTCTGGTAATTATAAATTACAGAGATATAACCGAAGAAAGAGTAAAGAAAAGCATTCAGTAAGGTAAGCATTAATCAAATCCATGACCCAACTCCTACCCAACCACCAGCTCCTGCTTAAATCGTTCAACTATCAACACTGATAATTTTATAAAATTGGTGGCAGGGTTGGCCCACATTGGAAGTTGGGGCGGAAGGTTCATTAGTGTTATCTTGGCCAGTGTGGTTGGGAAGGGGCAGAGTGAGGAGAGGGGGAATGAGGACTGGATAGGGGACAGAGGTGAAGACTGGATAGGGGAGTGGGGGGTGAATACTGGATAGGGGAGAGAGGTGAAGACAGGATAGGAGAGGGGGGTGAGCACTGGGTTGGGGAGAGTGAGGGAAGAAGGTAAGAGAGTGGAACAAGGGAGATATATGGTTGTCAGAAGGTGATGGTGGGGGCATCCATGGAAAATAGGGAAGCATGTGGATGGAAAGATGAATACTGTAGTGATAAATACCTACATATACTGTACATACAACATGCAGAGAAACTCGTGTTCAGTGGTAAACACCCAAGCCCAACTCTCATACCTTCTCATTCTTCAACTGAAATATAACTTAGAAACAAACAGGTGTGTACATAAATAGTTAAGGGAAAGGGATTAAATACTATACTAAAGCAAACATTAGCTAAGAAATAAAAATGGAAAATATATATAGATGCAGAAAAAGATAAACAATATTTTAAAGGAATAGCAACTGTTAATTAAAAAAAAAATTTCCATGGGAGTAGGAAAAGCCTCTGACATACCTGTGTATAGTATAACACAAGACTGTCCTAGAAAACCAATGCCCATCCAAAATTATGCATGTAGGTTTATCGTAAGTTTGGAGAGCACTGCACTGCAATATTTATTTAGGTGGATTTTTTTACTTTGACATTTTACTGTACTATTTTGATCATTAAACGTTTAATTGAGTCAATTTTAAAACCCATTCTTAGGCAGTGAGGGTTAAAAAAAAATATTCTAGGTATAAACTCATAACAAATGTTTAGTGAGTTTAAAATATATTCTTGGTATGAACTCACAATTGATGTCTCTCAGGAATAGAATTGCCTCCAGTGCCTCTCTGCCCCCATAGATTCACCAGTGAGAAATAGGACCCCAGTGGAAATGAGTCACACTGATTTTTTTGGGGTTATCTTAGGTATGATAATTGTGCTCATGTGTATACTTGTACTTAAATAAGCTTAATTATAAATCAATGGAAGCAAGGAATAAAATCAAGAATTCACAGTGATGGTAGAATTGCTGGTGTCTTTTTTTTCTGTCTCATAAACATGCAAGATTTCAGGTACGTCTTGCTACTTCTACTTACACTTAGTTATACTACACATGCATGTACAAGCATATATATACACACACCCCTCTTGGTTTTCTTCTCTTTTCTTACTAGTTCTTGTTCTTGTTTATTTCCTCTTATCTCCATGGGGAAGTGGAACAGAATTCTTCCTCCATAAGCCATGCATGTCGTAAGAGGTGACTAACATGCAAGGAGCTAATAACCCCTTCTCCTGTATACATTACTAAATTTATAAAGAGAAACCTTCGCTTTTCTTTTCGGGTCACCCTGCCTCGGTGGGATACGGCTGGAGCATTGAAAGAAAGAAAAATTCATAGCGATAAGGAAAAAGAAAAACTCATCAAAAAATGAAGAAGAAAACACTGAAAGTTCTAATCAAACAGAATACATAACAGAAGAGAAGAAGATACAAAGAGGACACAGGGAAAGTGTTACTCACCGGCTCAGTGGTGAAGGTGAGAGGTGCTGGGTCGGTACAGGAACACACAGAGCCATAACCTTCAATGTGGCTGCAGAACTCACGACGATGGCGGTGTTCATCAGAGTCAGGCCACCCACACTCACTCTCTGCCAGCACCAATAATCAGAATTAAAAGCATAAGAATGGAGGAATAGTGCAGCAGGCCTAATGGCCCATACAAGGCAGGTCCTTATGAAGACCACCTATGTAGTATTTGTCCAACCTTTTCCCACACCTACCCAAGAATTTGCTTACGACAAATGAGGACAAAAAAACAGGAATTGCAGACTGGAACTGAGGCAATCTACAGACATTGAGACAGTCTGGTGGGAATTCAGGGGCTAGAATATAAAAAATAGGGATATAAAGAAGAAAATGATAACAGAAATCCTTCATGTGGTTTGGCTATATGCAAATTTAATTAGTATATGCAATATCTCATTTCAACCACCTAATTCCTTATGTGCAATATAAATTCGCCTTATTTTATTAATGCACTTTACAAAACACATAGTAGGTTCATATAATGGAGAATTAAGTGATGATGACCTGGTTGAGATTACAGCTGTACTGATGCATCTACCTCAGTCATGTTCAAATTCAAATTCAAAGTTTATTCTCTATAAAGATTACAATGTTGAATTTACAGAATTTGGTTGTTGTGTGGTTTACATGTAGTTAAATAATGATTACAGAGTGTACCACTAGAACGCCTAGCATGGCTAGGCATTTCGGGCAGACTTAATTTAATTCATTATTTTAAAATATTACAAATTATGAGGTAAGTTGGTATTATGGCTAAGTGACTAAATACTAGTTTGTGAGTTTAGCAATGTGAATGCTTTTGTTTTGGCACAGTACATAGTTTCAGTATTGGAGTATCATAGGATTCATTATTTTAAGATTGAGATTAATATTTCTGTTTATGGTCAAATGGGTGAGTGAGTGTAAGTGTGAACCACCAGGTGGTATTCGTGTAGTTAGTTGATGGGGTTTATCAGGGAGATAAGATGTTTTCTAATGGTAGTTTTGAAGGTGATGAATGTGTCTGCAGTTCTAGAGTTCTCAGGTAGGGTGTTCCAGATTTTAGGGCCTTTGACATACATTGAATTTTTGTAAAGGTTTAGTCGGACATGGGGAATGTCGTAGAGATGTTTGTGTCTGGTGTTATGCCTGTGGGTTCTGTCACAACTATCAAGAAAGCGTTTTAGGTCAAGGTTGATATTGGAGTTTAAGGTCCTGTAGATGTAGATTGCACAGTAGTAAGTGTGGATGTACTGAACAGGGAGTAAGTTTAGATCTATGAAGAGTGGGGGAGTGTGTTGCCAGGGATGGGATTTAGTGATTATTCTTACTGCAGCTTTTTGTTGGGTTATTATTGGCTTTAGGTGTGTTGCTGCAGTTGATCCCCAAGCACAAATAGCATAGGTGAGGTATGGATAAATAAGTGAGTGGTATAGTGTGAGAAGGGCATTTTGCGGCACGTAGTATCGTATCTTGGAGAGGATCCCAACTGTTTTGGATACTTTTTTGGTTATGTGTTGGATATGGGTGCTGAAATTCAGGTTGTTGTCAAGGTATAGGCCTAGGAATTTGCCCTCATTATGTCTGGTAATTAGAGTGTTGTCGATCTTAATGTTAATTTGTGCATCTCCTGCTCTGCTACCAAACATAATATAGTAGGTTTTGTCAGTGTTAAGCGTAAGTTTATTGGCTGTCATCCAAGTCGATATTTTGATCAGCTCCTCGTTAACAATGGTGTTGAGGGTGGCAAGATTAGGGTGAGAGATGACATAAGTCGTGTCGTCAGCAAAGAGAATAGGTTTCAGGTGTTGGGATACGTTTGGAAGATCATTGATGTATATGAGGAAGAGCAGGGGACCAAGGACACTTCCCTGCGGAACTCCAGTATCAAGTGGCCGTGTTGTTGATGCTGTGTCTTTAATGGTAACATACTGACAAAGATCTACACATTGTCAATCGCAATGTTCATTTTTGACAAAAACTGAAATACTTTGAAATTGTCCAGCAATGTTATTATTACTGGGCATGGATCTGCACAGTGAACTTTCTTTGGGGAAAGTTTTTGAATGAAAAGTTTCTGAAAGAAAGTTTCTGAACAGGAAAGTTTCTAAAGGGAGAAATTTCTGCACAGGAAAGTTTTTGTACATGACAGTTTCTGCAAAGGGAAGTTCTGTATAAAAAAGTTTATATACAGGAAAGTTTATATAACTCTGAAGGCTTTCGAGTGTTTTCCTACACTTGTGGCCCAGTCCTGGGCCAGGCTTGTCAGGTGCTTGCCTGATCAACTAAGCTATTGCTGCTGGCAGCCCCTGACCCATATATCTATCACAGCCTGGTTGATCTGGCATTTGACATGTACATATCCCATTTCCTAGCATATAATTTTTTCCGAACAGGGTTATACCCATTACTGTACCCATATAAGTGATGGTGTGAATACTGGTCACAGGTTAAATTAGGTCAGGTCAGGTCACGTTAGGTTAGGCTTGATAAGGTTTGGTTAGAAGAAATATGACTCAGTTACCCCTGTGACATTTTTTAAGTACTTTTATATACGCTTTAAATGTATGAGAACTCCTTGGTTTATAATTCATAATCAGTGAGTAATGTATATTTAGGTAGTTGTGCGATTTACAAAGCACATTGAGTAATGGGCTGTATGAATGAGAAGTCAATATGAGGTTAAATTCCCGAGATAACGAGGGGGATAGATTTAAGTGTAGATATAACGAGGTTGGGTTTAACTACCGAGTTAATGAGGTTGGGTTTCACTGCCGAGATAACGAGGCTGGATTAGGCTAAGGGGAGTCTGTAGCCAAGGTCTTCGGAGAAAAAAAAATGGTTTGTTTGCAATCGTGTCACTACGATTTCGCGAGTCGTCTTCAGAGAAGACTCGGTTAAGAGAGAGAGAGAAGAGAGAGAGAGAGAGAGAGAGAGAGAGAGAGAGAGAGAGAGAGAGAGAGAGAGAGAGAGAGAGAGAGAGAGAGAGAGAGAGAGTGAGAGAGAGTGAGTGAGTTATCCATAACACACACCACCCAGCATTACCTCAGTCATCCCTAATCAAAACTTCTCCTAAGGGGGTAAAAATGAGTGGGGAGGGAGGGGGAGGGATTTCCACAGACTCATTTCATACGAGACTTAGGGTGGTTATTACGGTGTCGAAAAATATTTTATTTTAACTTTGCAAATCTCCAGCAAATTACACAACGTTCCTTGCTAATTAAAACTCGAAATTTGCGCTGGCCAAAAATTTACCCAGTAATGGTTCTTGTCTTTCTCAAGTTTTAAACTGTTTTGGGAAAGAACCCAACTGTTATACCATTTTTTTTATATTATCATGCGAGCAGAATCATGGTTTATGGTTTAGTATAAAGGAGGTAGAAGATTGTTCTACTTTATCATACACCATTTCACCTTTTAAACACAAACACACACACACAAACTACTATATTAGGTATATGATACCAACAAATTGGTTTAAAAGAGACACGTGAACAAACACTAGGACATATTAGAAAAAACGTTTTGATCCTGGTCAGAAGTGATCAAGGCCCCACAACCTAAAAGTTTTAAAATAAATACAGAGGCGTCGTAAGGGGGGGGGGCGCCCCGGGAGACACCATAGAGCCTCTAAAGGTGACACTAATGCCCAAAACAGTGCTGCACCAACATAAGAGAAGAATCCTTCGTTTCTATATAGCCTATTATATATTAACAAAGTATAAATAAGCCTATATAGGGAAAATCATTGATTTTGATGATGTGGTAGATGATTTTGCATAACTGAAGGCAAGAAAATGTAAGCTCAGATTCACTGAGATGTTACCTGTACCCAAGGTCAGATCGGAACTAGTGTTTCTCTGATATTGCAATGTTTTTCTTTATTTTTTCAAGTTTTTTTTTGCATTGTTGAAAATGAATAAATGCAGGATGTGTTGGTTGTACTCAAAGTGGTGTTTGAGCTTATGTTTCCTCAATATTACTCTTTCTCTCTCCTGACTCGTGTTTCTGTTCCTTCTTCATTTATTTCACCACTTCCCCTTTCACGCACCTGTGTGCGCTTGCTCTCCCTCTGTGGGCATCTACCTCACGGTACTGTGCCTTTTTTGTTATTTACTACGATTATTTATTTTATCATCAATAAAGTCGAGAAGTTTTCTCCTGTTCAGTTTATGGCCCTTAAACGTTCTCATTGCTAAACATTTGTCACTGGTCATGCAGTAGTGACGTAACTGGTCATGCAGTAGTGACGTAACTGGTCATGCAGTAGTGACGAAACTGGTCATGCAGTATGCGTAACTGGTCATGCAGTAGTGACGTAACTGGTCATGCAGTAGTGACGTAACTGGTCATGCAGTAGTGACGTAACTGGTCATGCAGTAGTGGCGTAACTGGTCATGCAGTAGTGACGTAACTGGTCATGCAGTAGTGACGTAACTGGTCATGCAGTAGTGACGTAACTGGTCATGCAGTAGTGACGAACTGGTCATGCAGTATGACGTAACTGGTCATGCAGTAGTGACGTAACTGGTCATGCAGTAGTGACGTAACTGGTCATGCAGTAGTGACGTAACTGGTCATGCAGTAGTGACGTAACTGTCATGCAGTAGTGACGTAACTGGTCAGCAGTACGTGACGTAACTGGTCATGCAGTAGTTGACGTAACTGGTCATGCAGTAGTTGACGTAACTGGTCATGCAGTAGTGACGTAACTGGTCATGCAGTAGTGACGTAACTGGTTCATGCAGTAGTGACGTAACTGGTCATGCAGTAGTGACGTAACTGGTCATGCAGTAGTGACGTAACTGGTCATGCAGTAGTGACGTAACTGGTCATGCAGTAGTGGCGTAACTGGTCATGCAATAGTGACGTAACTGGTCATGCAGTAGTGACGTAACTGGTCATGCAGTAGTGACGTAACTGGTCATGCAGTAGTGACGTAACTGGTCATGCAGTAGTGACGTAACCGGTCATGCAGTAGTGACGTAACTGGTCATGCAGTAGTGACGTAACTGGAGTTTACCCCCCATCCCCCGCCCGTGAATTTCATGGGGGTGATACCAAAGATGCTGCCCCGGGTGACACTATCTCTAGCGACGCCTCTGAATAAATATGTCGTAGTGTTTACTCACGTGTCTTTCTAAACTACTATCATACTCCATCTAAAAATTCTAAACATATGCCATTTGTATACATCACCACACATTTCCACATGCCACTACTAGTTCAAAAGCAAAAGGAGTTTGAGGTAATCAGTCCCTCAAGATGGAGTCGACGTAATCAGTCCATCAATCTTGAAAAGAATGATCTTTTCAAGATTGATGGACTGATTACATCGACTTCAGGCTGAGGGACTGATTACCTCAAACTCCATAAAACTCTACTGGTTGGTTGGTTAATGGGGCTTTAAGCCTATTAACTACACGAAGGTCATTAAAGTTGCCTGTCACTTGCTCACCACCAGTCAAAAATACTTTAATCCCCAAAAGAGGGATGAAATTCAACTCTGAATATATACACTCAAACATATACATCTCAGTGTATATATCCCACAATACAAGCACACCACTACCATATACAGTGCCAGACTAACAGGAATACACCTACGTATCGCACACTTTATCAATTCATACAACGTACAACTCTGATCCCTTAACAACTTCAACAACGCTTTTGGAAAGAGATTACTGCCGAATGGTTATAATCATAACCATGATTTTTAAAGAGGTGGAGGGGTAAGCCAGTGGAAGGTCTTGGTCATATGACCAGAAGCTCCAGTTGTGGGTCATCATATGGCTAATACCAGCGTCAGGAAACATTTATCCTATTTCCTAACAAACTTTATACCTACCTTTTGAAGAGTTAATCAGGTGGGTAACTCTTAATTCTTTGAAGAAAGAATCCTTCACCAGCATTAAATTCTCAATAAAGACGATCAGTAAGACACTTGTTCAAAAATTAGGCATCTTTATTCCGAAACGTTTCGCCTAAATAGTAGGCTTCTTCAGTCGATAAATTAGACTCGTGTGCAACACTTGGGTATCTCTATTATGGAAACGTTTGGCCACACAGTGGCTTCATCAGTCCAATACAAAGAAGAATAGTGAAAAGCATAAAGATTTCGAGGTAATCAGTCCCTTAGCCTGAAGTAAATATAATCGGTCTCAACCCTGATAAGAATACAGCATATTCTTAACCGGTGCTTTGAACTATTATTCAGTCGAATACAGAGGCAGCAGAAGCGGTAGAGATGTAAGTAATTATTTATCTTTCCACACGGAAGTCAGCTTCACTGGCCAGTTAAATGTTGGCAAGAGAGACTTTAACACATTTTAATAGCCTGATGTTCATGTTTATTTTCTCGCACTGAGACAAAAACATTCATTACAAACACAACAATGGTCAGCTCTGGCTGGAACTCCCTAGGCTGTGTTTGCTGCATTTGTTGTCACTGTTTTAGGACGCTGCTGTCTTTGTTCTAAGTGATGCTTGCCACCCTTAGTTTGTTGCTGTTGTAATAATTTTTATGTTGTGTGCTGTTGGTGTTTGTTTCTTGGTTGATGAATTGATGATTTTCGTTGAATTGTTTTATTTTTGTTGTAATCGTTGTTTTTTTATTCTTTTCCTATTTTTTTGGCCGTTGTTGCTAATGTTTTTGTTGCTGTTGTTTCTTGTATTTTCATATTACTGTTGTTGTTCAGATTACTAATGTTGTATTGTTACTGACAAAGTTATTAATGTTACTATGTTATTGTTATTTACAATGTTGTTATTAACGTTATTGGCAATGTTATTAATGTTATTGACATTGTTATTATTAATGTTACTGACAGTGTTGTTGAAGTTACTAGCTAAAGGTGACGATAATGTTTTTGTTGTTAATACTGAAACTAAAGTTGCTTGCTATTAAAATTCTCGTTGCTAATGTTATTAATGTTGTTGTATATGTTGTCGTTTTAAGGTTAACGTTGATGCTGCTAAAGTTGTTTAATGTTGCCAATGTTGATGCTGTTGCTCCTATTGCAGCTGCAGCTACTAAAGTTGGCGATGAAGAGGATACATTTGCAACACCTGGATACGAATTTTCTAATTCACGATAAGCTACTTCAGTTGTATACACAACAATAGCGATGGGGGATGTTGTGCAAGCGAAATATTTAATAAAGATACCCATATGCTGCACATGTGTCTTATTCATCAAGTTGTGGGTATTGTACACTATCAATAATAGTGTTGTTGATGATGATTGTGATGTTAAGACAGGGACACCTCAGCCCTGAACATGACGTTACAACACCACCTTCCAGGGACATTTTAGCCCTGAACATGACGTTACAACACCACCTTCCAGGGACATCTTAGCCCTGAATATGACACTAAAACACTCGCTTTCCAGGGGCACGAGGGGCACCTCAGCCCTGAGCATGACGTTACAACACCACCTTCCAGGGACATCTTAGCCCTGAACATGAGATTAAAACACTCACCTTCCAGGGGCACGAGGGACACCTCAGCCCTGAACATGACGTTACAACACCACCTTCCAGGGACATCTTAGCCCTGAACATGAGATTAAAACACTCACCTTCCAGGGGCACGAGGGGCACCTCAGCCCTGAGCATGACTGGGGCACCCCAGGTGTTGAAGTCAGGGCTGTGGGAGAGTTGCTCGGCGTATACTTTGCCACCCTTGGCACTCACCAATGCCCACATGTCCCTCCAGCCCAGCTCGTGGGCGTGGGCACTGCCCAGGCGACGTAGAGAGTCACGCCCACCGCCCTTCATCTGGAATGTCCCCTCGTCCTGCCCAATACAAAATAATAATTATTATTATTATAAATAGCAACAATAATTACTATTATTATTATAATTAGCAATAATAATTACTGATTATTATAAGTAGCAACAATAATTACTTTATTATTATTACTATTATTTATATACATGGGAAAGCACTAAACCTGTAGGAGTCCGATCTGAGGAAGAGGAAGGTAGTTTCAATTCAGTGAATCAAGAGCCCTTCCCCAGTATCAAGGAACTCTTTCTTGAAGAACAGGATCTGTACTAAGTTAAAATCTTTATACCGTTGTAGGTAATACTTTTGTACCATTGGAAGAGGTAATACTTTTGTACCATTGGAAGAGGTAATACTTTTGTACCATTGGAAGAGGTAATACTTTTGTACCATTGGAAGAGGTAATACTTTTGTACCATTGTAAGAGGTAATACTTTTGTACCATTGGAAGAGGTAATACTTTTGTACCATTGGAAGAGGTAATACTTTTGTACCATTGGAAGAGGTAATACTTTTGTACCACTGAAACAGGTAATACCATTGTGCATAGTCATCTGCACAACCAGTATTTCCCCCCCACCCCAACAACGGCCCACATCACCCCCTCCACGTCCCCCCACTCATCAACTTTCATCCCTGATTTCCCTATCAATTGCTTCTCGATCCTTTACCCTTAAGCAACCTCCCTGGCTGGAAGGTAGGTAGGGAGGTAAGTAGGGAGGGAGGGAGGGAGGGTGGTAGGGAGGGAGGTAGGGAGGGAGGTAGGGAGGGAGGTAGGGAGGGAGGTAGGGAGGGAGGTAGGGAGGGTGGTAGGGAGGGTGGTAGGGAGGGAGGTAGGGAGGGAGGTAGGGAGGGAGGTAGGGAGGGTGGTAGGGAGGGTGGTAGAGAGGGTGGTAGGGAGGGTGGTAGGGAGGGAGGTAGGGAGGGTGGTAGGGAGGGTGGTAGGGAGGGTGGTAGGGAGGGAGGTAGGGAGGGAGGTAGGGAGGTAGGTATCTCTGGAAGAAGAAGGAAGAGGAAAAGGGAAAAAATCAGGAAAATGAGAAAAAGGGAAAGAGGAGAAATGGAGGAAATTTGAGAAAAAATACGAGAAATAAGGAAAAGAGAAAAATGGGGAAAGAGGGAAATGAAGAAGGGAGAAGATAATAGGAAGAGGAAAAGAGAAAAACAAAAAGAAGAGGAAGAAAAGAAGGATGTGAGAGAAAAGGAAAAAGAGGAGGAGCTGGAGGAGGAGGGAAAAAAAGCTGAATATGTGAGGAATATCTCAGCGGATACCTCCTAGTGAGGGATACCTGGAGGTATACTTTCTCCTCCCTGGGCATTTGTTGAATATTTTCAAAACCTGTCAGAACCTTCACTGAATTTTGATGTGAGTTAGACACTGTTGTGGTATGATGGTTTAACATGAGGATCATACCTGAAGTATACCTGGAGGGTGTTTCGGGGGGTCAACGCCCCCACGGCCCGGTCCATGACCAGGCCTGGCGGTGGATCGCGGCCTGATCAACTAAGCTGTTACTGTTGGCATCATATGTAAGGTGACTGTAACGTTATGGCTGGGAAATGAGGAAGAGAGGTCATGGCCCCCACCTGCCCAGTCACGGACCAGGCCTGCCGATTCCTGGCCTGATCCATCAAGTTGTTGGTGCCCGCCGCCAGTAGTCCAACGTATGAACCACAGCCCGGCTGACTGGGAACCGTTCTGAGGAACCTGGCGAGCTCCCTCTTGAAGACAGCCAGGGGAGTTGTTGGTAATTTCCTTTACGCATGAAGGGTGTTGAAGAGTCGTGGTCCCTTCACAATTATTGAGTTCTCTCTCAGTGTGCACATCGCTCCCCAGCTTTTCATTAGAGGTATCCTGCAACGTCTGCCAAGCCTCTTGTGGTCACAAGTAGTAATTCCGGTGTGCAGATTTGGGACCAATCCACTCCATTTTCTTCCAGGTGTAGCTTACGATGTATCTTTCTCGCCTTCGTTCTAAGGAACACAGTTCTAGGGACTTCAAGAGCTCCCAGTAATTTAGGTGCTAGATTGTGTTTATACGAGCTGTGAAGGTTCTCTGTACATTTTCCAGCTCAGTAATTTCGCCTGCCTTGGAGGAATGGAGAAGTTTAGCAGCATCCTGGTGGAGAGACCAACTGGTTGTCTTAGGCTGAGTCTGTCCCAGGCTGTTGATATACGTATATAAGCTGTGGCGGTGAGGTTCGGGGAGTTGTATATGTGAGTATACTATCCAGAAATTACTCTCAGTATCAGCCCCATCTGTTATATCACGTTTTTAAAATTTGCAAGAGTTAATACATACAGAAATAATATAGTGACTGTATTTTAATGCCGTAATATGGTGGCTTCATTACCTCAATATATTACTGACCTCACCGGTAAAACGAAGAACATAATACAAGTAATGAATACACCATAACATACAATATTATCAAACAATAATATAGGAACAGTAATAATAACACAGAGATGGGAGATTTTATAGAACACAAACTCGCGTATAAAATTAGAGTAATTTACTGAGGTATTGAGACCATTATATTACAGTATTGTAATACACGATTACTTGACTATTTCTGCCACTAACTCTTTTAAATTTTAAAATTAGAATATAACAGGAAATGAGGCTGATAATGACGGGGAAGATGATACTAAGAGTAACTTCTAGATATTATACTCACATAAACAACTTCCCGGGACCTCACTGCCACGGCTTATGTATCTGTCATTCACTGCCTGGAACAGACTCAGCCTAAGACAACGAGCTGCTTTACCCACCAGGGCAACCTGGATAGTGCTCTTTGGTCTATCAACCAGGCAATCCTGGTTGGTCTATCAACCAGGTAATCCTTGGTTGGTCCATCAACCAGGTAATCCTTGGTTGGTCTATCAACCAGGTAATCCAAGATAGATAGTACTTGTTGGTCTATCAACCAGGCCAGCCAGGATGCCAGTAAACACACCCATTGCTCCTCCACTTTTCTAGTCTTCCTTATCTCTCTCTCTCTCTCTCTCTCTCCCTTCCTCCTCTTTCCTCATTCTCCAGTCATAACGTTATAATCACCTTACACATCATCCGCATGTTGAGTCAGCATACTAGCCCTGATAGAGGGGTCCCCCTCACATCATAATTCAATGGAGGTTCTAACAGGTTTTGAAAACATTAACAGAAAACCAGGAATGGGGGATTATGCCTCAAGGTATCCCTCACCGTATCCTTCACTGGGAGGTAACCTACCTCTTTACTTACCTGGGGTCTACTGAGATATTCCTCACAAGGAGGCTGGGAGAGAGATAGAGATAAGAAATGATGGAGGACGGGGGAGGGGGTTGCAGTAGTGTCTGCAGGATGAAATATAGCAAGGGGTGTAGCAGTGACTGCAGGGTGTAATATAGAGGGAGGAAGGGGGAAGGTTGTAGCAGTACCTGCAGGGAGTAATACAACCATGGCGGGGAAATTTCTGGACGAGCTCAGCCTGGGCCGGCGGCCCCACACACACTGTTAATATTACCATCACAAGGCCGCCTCACGTGGCGGGGAAAATCCCCGTAATAGTCCCCCCACTACACCACTAAGTACAGACATTCGTGCACACGCTGTGTATACATCGTGTATACACCGTGTACACGACAATGTACGCATGGATCTGGGTTTATCATACAGTATGAGAAGCGTTCACACTTGCATCATCCACTGGGCTTTGATATATAATAACACCCATTACTAGAGAGACAGAGATAATATAACAAGACAATTACGTAATGCAATCAGAAGAGTGCTGAGGCTGCCAGCAACAGTCACTTAATATAAGCTGCGTGTAATTTCCTGATACCAGCAAGTAACATTGTGATTTTAACACAAGCACTGGTGTTGCCCTGCCTGCCTCTCCTCTTTGCCTGCCTGCCTCTTCTCTGCCTGCCTCTTCTCTGCCTGCCTGTCTCTCCTCTCTGCCTGCCTGCCTCTCTGCCTGCCTGCCTCTCTTCCCTGCCTGCCTCTCCTCTCTACCTGCCAGCCTGCCTACCACTCCTCTCCGCCTGCTTGCCTGCCTCGTCTCCCTGCCTGCCTTTATACCTACTCTTTATTCCTACTCTTGCAGCCCGGCCTGGGCCAGGCTTGTCTGGTGCGTGCCTCATCAAAACTGCCGGAGGTCCGTGGGCCCATATATCCATCAAAGCTTGGTTGATCTGGCACTTGGCGGAGGTTCATGTCCAATTTCCTCTTGAAAACATTTTACACTTATTCCGGCAGTGCTACCTGGAGGTTACCTGGAGGTTATTCCGGGGATCAACGCCCCCGCGGCCCGGTCCACGACCAGGCCTCCCGATGGATCAGGGCCTGATCAACTAGGCTGTTACTGCTGGCCGCACGCAGTCCGACGTACGAGCCACAGCCCGGCTGATCCGGCACCGACTTTAGGTATCTGTCCAGCTCTCTCTTGAAGGCAGCCAGGGGTTTATTGGCAATTCCCCTAATGCTTGATGGGAGGCTGTTGAACAGTTTTGGGCCCCGGACACTTATGGTGTTTTCTCTTAGTGTACCAATGGCGCCCCTACTTTTTATTGGCGGCATTTTGCATCGCCTGCCCAGTCTTTTACTTTCGTAGGGAGTGATTTCTGTGTGCAGATTTGGGACCATTCCTTCCAAGATTTTCCAAGTGTAGATTATGATATATCTCTCCCTCCTGCGTTCCAACGAGTACAAGTCAAGTGCTTCCAAGCGTTCCCAGTAGTTAAGGTGCTTGACAGAACTTATACGTGCAGTAAAGGATCTCTGTACACTCTCTAGATCTGCGATTTCACCTGCTTTGTATGGAGATGTTAATGTACAGCAGTATTCCAGCCTAGAGAGAACAAGTGATTTGAAAAGGATCATCATGGGCTTGGCATCTCTCGTTTTGAAAGTTCTCATTATCCATCCTATCATTTTCTTTGCACGTGCGATCGTGGCACTGTTGTGATCCTTGAAAGTGAGATCCTCAGACATTACTACTCCCAGGTCCCTTACATTATTTTTCCGCTCTATTGTATGGCCGGAGTCAGTAGTATACTCTGTTCTAGTTATTATCTCCTCCAGTTTTCCATAACGGAGTAGTTGGAATTTGTCCTCATTGAACATTATATTGTTTACCGTTGCCCACTGGAAAACTTTGTTTATATCTTCTTGGAGGTTAACCGCGTCCTCAGCAGATGACAGCCTCATGCAGATCCTAGTATCATCCGCAAAGGATGATACGGTGCTGTGGTGTATATCTCTGTTTATGTCTGATATGAGGATAAGGAATAAGATGGGGGCGAGTACTGCCTTGTGGAACAGAGCTCTTCACTATGGCAGCCTCCGATTTAACTCTGTTGACCACTACTCTTTGTGTTCGATTTGTTAGGAAGTTGAAGATCCATCTCCCCACTTTCCCAGTTATTCCTTTAGCACGTATTTTATGGGCTATTATGCCATGATCGCATTTGTCAAATGCTTTTGCAAAGTCTGTGTATATTACATCTGCATTCTGATTTTCTTCCAGTGCATCCAAGGCCATGTCATAGTGATCCAGTAGTTGTGAGAGGCAGGAGCGACCTGCCCTGAACCCATGTTGCCCTGGATTGTGCAGATTTTGGGAATCCAGGTGATTTGCAATCCTGCTTCTTAGCACTCTTTCAAAGATTTTTATGATGTGGGATGTCAGAGCTATTGGTCTATAGTTCTTAGCTAATGCTTTGCTGCCACCTTTATGGAGTGGGGCTATATCCGTTGTTTTAAGTGACTGTGGAATTTCACCCATGTCCAAGCTCCTCCTCCATAGTGTACTTAGGGCACGCGAGAGGGGTTTCTTGCAGTTCTTAATGAAAACAGAGTTCCACGAGTCTGGGCCCGGGGCTGAGTGCATAGGCATGTTGTCAATGGCTTTTTCGAAATCTATCGGAGTTAGGGTAATGTTGGAAATCTGGCATACATTTATGGAGTTTTGAGGCTCATTCATGAAGAAATCATTTGGGTCGTCGATCCTCAGACCGATTAGTGGTTCACTAAACACAGAGTCGTACTGGGATTTCAATATTTCACTCATTTCCTTGTTGTCGTCTGTGTAAGTCCCATCCTGTCTGAGTAAGGGCCCGATACTAGATGTGGTATTTGCCTTGTTTTTGGCATATGAAAAGAAATATTTTGAATTTCTTTCAATTTCACTAATAGCTTTAAGCTCCTCCTGCCTCTCCTGGTTCCTGTAAGAGTCATTTAGCTTAAGTTCGATAGTTTCCACTTCCCTGGTCAGCGCCTCCCTTCGTGTATCAGATATTCTAGCACTCCTGAGGAGCTCAGTGACTCTTCGTCGTCTTCTGTAGAGGGAGCGTCTTTTTCTCTCCAGTTTACTCCTGCTCTTCTTCTTTCTTAGGGGAATATGCCTAGAACATGCTTCGGCTACCAGGAAGTTGATCCTTTCAAGGCACTGGTTTGGGTCCATGTCATTTAAGACATCTTCCCAACATGTTTCGTTTAGGACATGGTTTACCTGGTCCCAGTTGATGTTCTTGTTGTTGAAATTGTATTTTGTGAAGACACCTTCACAGGTACATGCATTCTGTTTTCAGGACCCCTATGCATGTACGTCTGGACTTCGATTAGATTGTGATCGGAATTAGTTGTTTTTGATATTCTTATGTCTCTTATCAGGTCCTCATTATTTGTGAAGATAAGGTCAAGTGTGTTTTCTAGTCTTGTTGGCTCCACTATCTGCTGGCTTAAGGTGTGTTTTTCGCAGAGACTTAGTAGCTTCTGATATCTTGTGACAGCGTTAAACAGTCTGGGTCCAAGGATGCTGATATAATGTTCTCTTAATGTGCTGACGCCCCTGATTTTCGCTGGGTTAATTTTACAAATTTTCCCACATCTCTGACCCCAGTATGTTCTTACGACTGTAGATTTTGAACCAGGCACTCAGTTACCTTCCGTGTATATATATTATTATGTATCTCTCAATCTCATCCGCGTTCTTAGTAATTTAAATCCAGCACTGGCTCTATGCAAGCTGTGAATGAGCTCTGTATTTTTTTCAGCTCTGAACAATACTCTATTCAGGACAGCACAAGTGATTCTCATTATCCACCTTGTCATTTTTCTGACTTTTGTGATATTTGTCTCATTATGTTCTTTCAAAGGTCAGCTGACATTATTACACCCAGATCCTTCACATGTTCCTTCCGTTTTATTTAGTGATCTTGCGTTTTGTATACAGCGCCTCTCCTGGGTTCTTGTTACCATTAAACGTCATGTTATTCTCCAATGACCACTGGAAGACTTTGTTTATATCTGCGTTTTTTCGTGCCCTCTACCAAGGTGATTTTTCAAGCTTATTCTGGTATCATCTGCAAATAATGATACGTACCCGTGGCGAGCGTTTCTGTATCCACTATGAGGATAAGAAACAGCAAAGGCACCAGGACCGTACCTTCGGGGTACTAAGCTTTTTACATTGTTAATGCCTGCTACACCATTACCACATACACTGACACAATACCAGAATATCACCCAGGGAAGATTAGCTAATCTATGAACACCCCTTCCCCAGTATAACATGATACTAGAATGTTATACCTTGAAGGACCTCAAACAGGAGAGTACTCTGTGTGAAGGACGAACTCAGATATCCACCCACCTTGATTGCCAGGACGAGTATCCTTCCTGGTGACACCATGTTGAGGAAGAGTGTCATAGCCTCGTCCTCGTGGGGTGAGTAGGTGTCGAACACCCGCTGCGCCATGACAGCGCCACTAGCCTGGTGCAACACCAATACGTGAATTCCACGACTCTTGCGTTCCTCCGCTTCCTCCACGATCTGTACAATATGATATTATGATGTTATAGAGATGGAACTATATCAAAATTTTTATTGATACCAATATTCAATTTTAGGCCAATACAAATACCCTCAAAATTAGCCGATACCAATTAATACTGATACCATCAAAATTAGCCGATAGTCATCGATGCAGATAATTTTAGGCTGATACCGATACCATCAAAATCAGTTGGTTAGGTAAACGGACACCTGCAACAAATGTGACACTTTATTGTGGTAACGTTTCGCTCTCCAGGAGTGAAACTTGACCTGTGTTACTGAATCCTGAACCCCTTCAAACACAGGTAGGAGAAATTCTATCTGCCTAGTTAACACCGTACCTTTATCTTTGATACCTTTACCCTTACCTTTGGTGAGTTCCAAGAATCTTTCTACTCCCGGAGCCCGGTCATGGGCCAGGCTTGTCTGGTGCTAGCTTGATCACCCAGACTGTTGGCCCATATGTCTATCACAGCCTGGTGGAGATACGCTTCCTCTTGAAGACTTCTACACTTGTCCCAGCAGTGTTTGATATCTTCTGGCAAGATGAACATTAAAATGGTATGAAATACCGACAGATTGTTAGGTAAGACACATATGCAACAGTTAGGTATCTTTATTTCGAAACGTTTCGCCTACACAGTAGGCTTCTTCAGTCGAGTACAGAAAGGTTGATAGAAGCAGAAGATACTTGAAGACGATGTAATCAGTCCATCACCCTTAAAGTTTTGAGGTGGTCAGTCCCTCAGTCTGGAGAAGAGCATTGTTCCGTTGTCTGAAACAATATGAAGTTGAAGTGACAGAATGGGGCCTTTATATAGTGCCAGGAGGTGAGACGTAGGTTGCTTTGGGAGGGCAGGTCCTTCTCAAACCCAGCCGTTCTCACTAGTAGAGGTTGTCGAAGTGGTCTGTACCAAGATACCCTTGTGTTGCAGTGTCTGACAGAATGAACATTAAAATGGTATGAAATACCGACAGATTGTTAGGTAAGACACATATGCAACAGTTAGGTATCTTTATTTCGAAACGTTTCGCCTACACAGTAGGCTTCTTCAGTCGAGTACAGAAAGGTTGATAGAAGCAGAAGATACTTGAAGACGATGTAATCAGTCCATCACCCTTAAAGTTTTGAGGTGGTCAGTCCCTCAGTCTGGAGAAGAGCATTGTTCCGTTGTCTGAAACAATATGAAGTTGAAGTGACAGAATGGGGCCTTTATATAGTGCCAGGAGGTGAGACGTAGGTTGCTTTGGGAGGGCAGGTCCTTCTCAAACCCAGCTGTTCTCACTAGGGTTTGAGAAGGACCTGCCCTCCCAAAGCAACCTACGTCTCACCTCCTGGCACTATATAAAGGCCCCATTCTGTCACTTCAACTTCATATTGTTTCAGACAACGGAACAATGCTCTTCTCCAGACTGAGGGACTGACCACCTCAAAACTTTAAGGGTGATGGACTGATTACATCGTCTTCAAGTATCTTCTGCTTCTATCAACCTTTCTGTACTCGACTGAAGAAGCCTACTGTGTAGGCGAAACGTTTCGAAATAAAGATACCTAACTGTTGCATATGTGTCTTACCTAACAATCTGTCGGTATTTCATACCATTTTAATGTTCATTCTGTCAGACACTGCAACACAAGGGTATCTTGGTACAGACCACTTCGACAACCTCTACTAGTGAGAACGGCTGGGTTTGAGAAGGACGTGCCCTCCCAAAGCAACCTACGTCTCACCTCCTGGCACTATATAAAGGCCCCATTCTGTCACTTCAACTTCATATTGTTTCAGACAACGGAACAATGCTCTTCTCCAGACTGAGGGACTGACCACCTTAAAACTTTAAGGGTGATGGACTGATTACATCGTCTTCAAGTATCTTCTGCTTCTATCAACCTTTCTGTACTCGACTGAAGAAGCCTACTGTGTAGGCGAAACGTTTCGAAATAAAGATACCTAACTGTTGCATATGTGTCTTACCTAACCTTCTGGCAAGATGTTGAATAATCTGAGACCACGGATGTTGATACAGTGTTCCTTTATTGTACTGACCGCACTCCTGCTTTTCACTTCCTCCCATCTCTCTCGCTCCAGTATGTTATGGTATCCAACTCATTTATTACCCAGGCCACTCTCACGGATGGGCAGTGACCCACCATGGGCGCCTGATCCAGCGTGCCACTACACTGCCTCTCACCGAGCTGAAGGACTGACAACCTCAAATCTACGACTCCAAGGGTGATGGACTGATTACATCGTCTTCACATCTCTACTGCTTCTGCCTACTTTCTGTACTCGCCTGAAGAAGCCTACTGTGTAGGCGAAACGTTTCGGAATAAAGTTGCCTAAATGTTGCCTATGTGTCTTATCTACCAACTACTTTCCTTACAGGGAATTCGACAGATTCCTCAAAACAGTTCCCGATCAGCGGGTTGTAGTGCATACGTTGGACTACGGTCGGTGGGCAATGACAGCTTGATCGATCAGGTCAGCAACTAAAAGAACTAGTCTGAGACCGGTGCCGCGGGGGGGGGGGGAAGCAACTACAGGTAACCTCCTTACCTTGTACTGTGGTCATTAATCTTGTAGTCTGGTCCGAGACCCTGGGAGGGGGATGTGGGAGGGAGGTGTATGTAGAACGTGTTATAAACAGGTCCAGTGAATGGCACATTAACTCATAATGGTTATAATTATAGCCGCTTACTGGCACATATAAGGCTGCTTGCTGGCACGGTGTTTGCAAGCAGTTGAAACGTAAACAACTGCTAAAGCCTAACCCAAAGCCAGCCCTTGACCCTGGCTTTGAACATTAAGACGCAGGCTCATTTTTCGAGACTTTTAAGGGATAAAAAAAAGCGCGTCTTATACGCCGGAAAATACGGTACATCTGTGGGAGTGAGTAGGAGAGTTGTGTCACAGTGACGCGGCGGCGGCGGCGGCGGCGGCGGCGGCGGTGGTGGTGGTAACTCAGATGCCTCCCAGACACTCCCAATATACACACACCAGGTAATGGAGCCTTAATTATGAGAGGCATAATGTCTCCTGCCTTCATTCATCTACAGTGCCTTAACCCACGCTGCCCACGACCACAATACCCTAGTACCCGTCACACCCATGCTGCCCACAACTATAATACCCTAGAAACCGTCACACCCATGCTGCCCACGACCACAATACCCTAGTACCCGTCACACCCATGTTGCCCACGACCACAATACCCTAGTACCCGTCACATCTACTGTCAGGTGTTTCTTTGTTGTGGAATGTGACGGTGAGGTGTAGTCTTGACCCTTTATATGCCTTCCTTTGATGTATTGCTTTTATCGAATCAAATCGATTCGAGGACGACGAGATCTGTCGTAAGATGGGAAGGAAGAAGGATATGGAAGGATGGAAATAACTGGAAAAGGATGGGGAGGAGGGGAAGAGGAGGAATCAAGGCAAGTGGCCCAACCACTTTGGGACATGTGGTACAAAAGTACTGGAGACGTAGATAGAGAGGCTTGACTGATGTGATTGCTTGGCTCACTAGGAGAGGATGGCGAAGGCAGCGGTAGGAGCTGAGAGTGTCAGAAGGCAGCAAGCAGGATAAGTTGGTTATGGTCTTAAACCGTTTATCAGTGCGGTAAATTGTTTTCGGGAGAGTTGTATCGCACTTATGGGAGAGCTGTAGTAGTATTCGTTGGTTTGGAGTTGGTGGAGTATCTGGCTGTAGGTAGGGAATGGTCTTTCTTCGCCTTGGTACGATACAGTGTTGTCTTGGAGATGTTGGATAAGTTCATGCTGCCCACGACTACAATACCCTAGTAACCTTCACACCCATGCTGCCCACGACTACAATACCCTAGTAACCTTCACACCCATGCTGCCCACGACTACAATACCCTAGTAACCTTCACACCCATGCTGCCCACGACTACAATACCCTAGTAACCTTCACACCCATGCTGCCCACGACTACAATACCCTAGTAACCTTCACACCCATGCTGCCCACGACTACAATACCCTAGTAACCTTCACACCCATGCTGCCCACAACTACAATACCCTAGTACCCGTCACACCAATGCTGCCCACGACTACAATACCCTAGTACCCGTCACACCCATGCTGCCCACGACCACAATACCCTAGTACCCGTCACACCCATGCTGCCCACGACTACAATACCCTAGTACCCGTCACACCCATGCTCCCCACGACCACAATACCCTAGTACCCGTCACACCCACGCTGCCCACGACCACAATACCCTAGTACCCGTCACACCCACGCTGCCCACAACTACAATACCCTAGTACCCGTCACACCCACGCTGCCCACGACCACAATACCCTAGTAACAGTCAAACCCATGCTGCCCACGACTACAATACCCTAGTAACCTTCACACCCATGCTGCCCACGACTACAATACTCTAGTACCCGTCACACCCACGCTGCCCACGACCACAATACCCTAGTACCCGTCACACCCACGCTGCCCACAACTACAATACCCTAGTACCCGTCACACCCATGCTGCCCACGACCACAATACCCTAGTACCCGTCACACCCATGCTACCCACGACTACAATACCCTAGTACCCGTTACACCCATGCTGCCCACGACTACAATACCCTAGTACCGTCATACCCATGCTGCCCACTACAATACCCTAGTACCCGTCACACCCATGCTGCCCACAACTACAATACCCTAGTACCCGTCACACCCATGCTGCCCACAACTACAATACCCTAGTACCCGTCACACCCATGCTGCCCACGACTACAATACCCTAGTAACCTTCACACCCATGCTGCCCACGACTACAATACCCTAGTACCCATCACACCCATGCTGCCCACAACTACAATACCCTAGTACCCGTCACACCCATGCTGCCCACGACTACAATACCCTAGTAACCTTCACACCCATGCTGCCCACGACTACAATACCCTAGTACCCGTCACACCCATGCTGCCCACGACAACAATACCCTAGTACCCGTCA